AACAGAAGAAGAAGCAGAAGAAGACCTCTTCTAGAGGGTAAGTATCCACAGAGAACAAAATCTCCACACCAGTCCTTGGCAAAGCACGGCTCTGCAGGCTTCCGGTGCACATTTGCCAAGGCACACTACAGGTGGCTTTGTACATCCTCACATCCGCTAGAATCAAACCATAGACTTGCTCAGTTCTAAACACAGATTTTTGCTATTGAAACAAGACTGAAAGAAACTGAAGTTGGCTAAGATTCTACCGGTCTAACTTCACTCCCTAAGCCAGTAAATGGAAGCACAGGCACAGGCAATGGAAGCACTTCATTTAATTAGATACTAGCCAGTACTTAATTATTATTGGATAATTTAAGACAATTAGTTCTAACTGTAGGCTGCCAGCCTACAGTTCTATCAGTATGGAACCATATCCAGTTGCTTGGGCCACTCAACTCTTCAGTGAGCCATCCCTAGCCCCGTATACACTAATTTATTTGTATCCTTTACTCAGCAGTTTCAAGCTTACAGAACATAAAATTCAATTATATTCAGAATTTCTAAGGATAAGCCAACTAACCCTACATTTCAAATTCATATTACTGCTAAATAATTTTGGCTACTCACTAGGTATTTAACATAGTCCTCTAAAATCTAGCAATTCATTCAGTAAAAATTTGTTTAACTTCTACTGGATCCAAGGCATCAAAGAGGATACAAAATTAAGACTCTTCTCAAGAGACTTACTCACTCTAGTAGTAAGAGGGCAGGAAGATACATAAACCTAAAAGAAGATCAGCAGCATTACATAAATGACTGTTATGGCTTGTATGGAAATGGTCCCTAGAACTTCATAAGCTCATAGGTGGGATTTTCAGAGATGGCTGGATCTGGGGCATGTGAATATGGATTAAGGGCATCTGATAACTAAATTATCCCACCGAGTGTTAGCAGAGTTCTAGGGGTGGGAACAGGAAGCTCCACGCACAATATGGATGGCACCAACCAATAGCCTTACAGCCTAGATGGAACAGATATGGAAAAGAAACTTGCTACTGTTTTTCCTGCTTTCTGCCCGCCCAGGGCTGTTCCTCCTCTGCCATGGCCCCCTGCCATTCACCCTCTCTTGGAGACAGCCAGCTATAGAGTGAACCTCTATGAACTGTAAGGTGAAGTAAATATTTCTTCTTTTAACTTGTAGGTGTTTGATATTTTGTCCTAGTGGCAAGAAAAGTAATGAAGATAATGACCCACGACACTAGTTCTAAGAATAGGACCAAATCTTCAGGCTGGAATGCTCAGGGAGACTTTATTTAAGAAGCATATAGGTTATTGGTAGTACAACCTTGGAAAATATCTATTCCAATGATCATCTTAGAAGAGTTTTCATTATAAAACCTTTAATGTGCCAGTGTGCCAGAAAGGAGAAAAGGAGAGAGAGAGGGAGGGACCTAAAAGGAGGAAGCATTTTACTCAGTATCATGTAGACAGTGAAAACAACTGGGCACAAAGGTAGATCTTCAGATTTTTAGCTTACTTCATTTCCTTGATACCACATTACCATGCTGAGGCTGAAAACATTTGAATAGAGAAGATGGGGAAAGAAGATAATACGGTAGCAAAGATCAGAAGCTAGAATGTAAGACTGCTTAAAGGTTCATTTGAGAAACATACTGTTTAATTTGTCAGAGAACAAGAATTTGAGAGAAATAATAAGACACCAGGCTGAAAGCAGAATGGAATCAGACAATAGGGGATATTAGCTGTAAGGTGGGGAGAGTTAGACATCCTCACTAGGTAATTTAACGGACACAAGTGGCAGAAATTACTTACATAATCTAAAAGTTCTTTTCAGCATTGGTACTACAATGTGACACTGGCACATTAAAGGTTTTATAATGAAAACTCTTCTAAGATGAAAAAAGCCAGCTAAATAAACTTACATCGACTACAATCTTCCTTTCTCAGTTCTTTCTTCATAGAGAGGAGTCGCACAAGAGGGCTAACAGGTGGCAAGACCTCATGATCTGCTGACACAGAAGGAGTCTGCAGCAGGACTGACACATTATTTTTCATGCCTCCTGCCTCACTTCTCCTGAAGGTCTCTGGCTTGCCGACTCCTGCACCAACTGGCTCCTACACTACCCTAAATAGATGTGATGGGGCCGGGAAGATGGCTCAGTGGAATAAGTGTTTCCCTGGCAAGCGCAAGGGCCTGAGTTCAATCCCCAGTTCCGCAAAAAAAAAAAAAAAAAAAAAAAAAAAAAAAAGGAAAAATAGATGTGACATGCATGGGTTTGCCATCCTCACCAGAGACTGGGGGGCTACTACGTGCATACAGAATTATAGGTGCTCTTTCCTTAGCCCCACTGCCTAGTCCTTTGCTCTAGTGTCTTGTTTCCTTCTTTGGTGCCAGAAACAGAACAGCTAGCAACAGATTTTCACAGCAAAATTTGTACAGCTCTCCAGAATAATTTCAAAACACTTGCAGTCTCTTGTTCATGTAGTATTAGGAAAAAAATGCAAATCTCTGCTCAACTTCAACCCTTATCCTACACAGCTCTTTATCCTCCAGAGGTTAGATTATGCTTCCCCATCTCTCAGGTCACTACTCTGCAGGCTTAGCTTCAACACTTAACCTAGATGACCCCCCTGAAGTTCTGGCCCTACTATCAGTTTAATTTTAAGATACACCTTTGCTGAGAAACTTCCACTGTGTCCCCCTCAACAGGCCTTGGAGCATCGATACCAGGGGGATGTTTCAAAATCACCTGGAGTTTATGTCTTAACCTCCAAGGACTTTCCTTTTGCAGCTTGCTCTTCCAAAAAGTTGTTGCTCAAGCCCCACTCTGTATGTCCTTGGTCTATTCTCTTCAGCATTTAGTACGCTGCTGCTGAAATGCCAGCAGCCTTTGTGTCTACAGCCATCAAGTGATGCTAAAACTTCTGGAAAGGAAATGCTGAGTGCACTGCAATTTAATGGATTAAATAATCTGTGAAGTTCTCTGGGCTCTAAAATGCATGGCATTATTGTTTTCTGGATGAGAACTTGACCTCCTGTGTTTCAATACCAGGGACTAAATACTGGTCTTCACCCTCCTCCCCAGGTAAACTGAAAAATGATACTTAAGCAAAGAGGAAAAGGTAGAACTTTTCAAATACTGAAAAGTTCATGAATAATTTATTATTTTACATTCTATTCTTGTTTAGAAAACATGAAAAAGATTATGTTGAAGTATTTTCAAATTTTAAAGCAATATATAGATTTCTAAATTTCAAATTTTATAACACTGTATAGATTTTTTTAAATGTAGCTATGCGAAATGTTCTCCATTCAGGTCATCCTTACATTACTCCAGAGGAGTATAAACTAATTTTACTCCCGAGCTGGACATTAGAAAACTGAGCCTTTGTAAGATAAACAGTTTGCCCAAAATCCTAGAGCCATGTGTGGGAGAGTTGGTACTGGACCTTTCACTATTTAACTTCTAATTTCCACTCGATTGGCCCATTATTATATTTTTATTCATGTATGTATGTATGATGTATGTATGTATGTACTTACTTACTTGGTACAGGGTTTCCCTACACAACTTGGACTCATAGTGATCCTCCTGTCTCGGCCTCCCCAGCACTGGGATTACAAGCATGCACTACCATGCCTGGTTTTGGGGCCAGCACAGTGTGCCCAGTGTTCTGGGGCCAGTTTGGCATGTGGTGCTGGGGATTGAATCCCAGTCCCTACGCTTGCTAGGCAGGTGCTTAGACCGCCAAGCTATCTCCCTAGACCTGTTATTTTTTTTAAATACTTTAAAATTCTAAATTTGAGGGACTAAGTATAGAAAGAATATACATTGTTTTTCATAAGTATGAAAAAAACAAAGAAAAAGAAAAATAGAGGCCAAACTTTTTTTCAAAGCTAATGAAAAGAATATGCTGACCCTATGAGTCAGAGGCAAGGGATGTGGAAAATGATGGGCAGCTCTCCATAGAAGAGACAGAATGCACCAAGCACTAGAGCAGACATAAGAGGATAAAGGAAGACCCAATAGGTTCAATGTGCAACACAGTAAGAGAAAGGGCTGCAGCTTGGCACTGGAGAGATGGAAAGACCTTGACTCTGCAGGACTGTATGTCGTAAAGATGATGTAGATGATATCTGTGGGCAGTGGGGAGACAATTCTAGCAAAACACAGAGAGGTGATAATACTTTAGTTGTACAAATGTCAACCTGACTTCCAACTGGGGAACAGCTTAGAGTAGACATAGGGAGGTGGAGCTATGCTAGGGAACATTGCTGTAATCCAAATGATTTGTGATGGTGAGCAGGGATACAGAAACAGACATGGGCAAGAAACACAGACACTTATGAAATACAATGGACTGGACAATGGGAAATTCAGTGGGGGCTGATTTAAGCCTTAAAGAAATTCTATGGCTTAAATGGTAGCTGACTCTTGCTTTTTTTGTTTGTTTTTTTGTTTTTTTGTTTGTTTGTTTGTTTGTTTTGATACCAGGAACCAAACTCAGGACCTAGCTTGTGCCAGGCAGATGCTGAACCATTGAGCTGTATCTCAGGCTCTCACCTTTTAATTAAACCAATATGCCTATATTTGGTAATCTGAATAACTACTTTGAAGACAATAACACAATATAACAACCATTGTTTATTTCCTATCATCTTGTTTTAAAAATTTGTATCTTTTAAAAAATTTTTTATTCTGTTTAAAAAAACTAAAATAGGGCTGGGGAGATAGCTCAGTGGAATAAGTGCTTGCCTGGCAACCTCAATGAGGTCTTGAGTTCAATCCCTAGTACCACAAAAAACAAACAAACAAACAAAAAACCTAAAATAAGTAAAACAAAATAAGAAGAGAAAGATTCATTTAAAAAGGAAAAACTTACCACCTCTAAACTCCTATTAACATGTTTTCATCAGTCCCTAGATTCTAGCCATAACTTACCTGGTTGCCGACCAATAACAGATGTTCTCCAAGGAGAAAATCTTTCAGCATGTCTTCCATTACCATCATGTGCTAGAGGAAAAAGAACCAGAAGTGAGCTATATTTTGCACAATCAAGGTGAAATAAGAAGTTAATTAGTCCAGGACAGTGGTATACAACACTAATCACAATAATCTAGGAGGCTGAGACAGGTAGACCTCAAATTTAAGCACAAGCATCAGTTACCTATACATATAGGGCTGATGATGCAGGTAATTGTGAAGGCACACACTCACACACGCATGTATGTACATATGCACACTCAAGGCTGGATGTGGTGGTGTGTCCCTGTAATCCCAGCACTCTAAGCAAATATGAATTCAACTTGGGAACTTAGGGACTTAGCAAAACTTGTCTCAAAATAAAAATAAATAGAAGTACTAGGGATATTGCTAGGGCAGAAGGCCCTACATTCAAGCTCCAGAATCATAAAAAAAAAAAAAAGAAAGAAACAGATAACTTTCCAGATATCTTCTTACCACATAAAATACCTATTCTGAAAGAATACTCAAGTGATTTGATTTTTTTCAACAAACAAAATTAATGATGTGGATCTAAGCAAACCATATATCCACAATTAGATCTCGGATACTGAAAACTTGAAATAGATTATCCAAGCAAGACCAAGCTACAAACCAATTATTTCAAAGCGGTTTTATAACTTGATTCAAACATTTTTACTTAAAGTATCTGTAGCTGGCCCATAGTCTAACATATTTAAATTGACATGTGCTAACATTAATATACAAAGGCTTCCAAAAGTAGCTAGACATTTCTTTGGGACATTTTACACTAATTTTTCTTAATCATTACTATCCAATTATGTATATCTTTAAAATTAATGATACATTATTTACTTTCCTAGCTTTTTTATTTGAGTTATGGCACCATATAATTAAAGAACAAGATTAAGGTTCACAATAAGCCACAGAGGAAATTACATTGCTCTTTTGTATCTTGAAAAATGGGACACCTATAAATAGGTAACAAAGGTTCATCAGGTGTTGGGAAGAACTACATCTCAGAGCAATTAATATCCCTCCTTTTTCGTTTGTTTTTTGGTATCAAATCAATAACATGAAGTTTCTGATCTCTCTGTTTTTAAAAAAGCAAATTAACCTTTCATATCTGGTACTCACTGCAGATAATTCATCTTCTGTGTCACTTGCTTTTTTTTTTTTTAATTTGGTTTTTGTGGATAACCAGAAATTTTTCCTTTCACCTTACAAATGTAATAACATTGTGTTTTAGCTTCTTTTCTATTGAAACTAAGGATTGTTTACCTTTTTTTTGGGGGGGGAGGAGTCTGTCATTCACAAACAAATGGGTATCTTTTGATGTTTATCAGTTTTTATTTTTAAAATTAGATACACTACGGAGCTAGAGGGTTTTTTTATTTTAAAGGAAGTTCATGGGTCTTGTTTTGTTCGGTTTTGTTTGTATTTTTAGTGCAGGGTCTACAGAGTCTACAGGGTCTCACTACACATTTTAGACTCGTAGTGATTCCCATTTTCAGCCTCCCAAGCACTGGGATTACAGGTGTGCACACCACGCTCAGTCTCAGTCTCTGTCTCAGCACACCCCAGGTTCGTGGCCAGTACGGCATGCTGGAGATCGAACTCCAGTCGCTGAGACTACCTAAGTAGGTGCTTTAATTTGCTGAACTATCTGGCCGGCCCTGAGAGCTAGAGTTTTAAAGAAGCTTGAAATAAAGTAAATATATTCACTTATTGCACTCTGGAACATCTTTGCAATAATAGACAGCATTATTAATAATTATACTGTGACAACAAATGTAAACAGGGACTAGCTTAAAAGCAAACTGTATGCATGGAGTGACTGTTAATCCTGATGCCAACTTGACTGGATGAAGGAACTTCCAGCAGATCAGAAAGCACACTTCTGGGCATGCGTGGGTGTGCCGTGGAGCGGTGAGCACGGGTATTATACCTGGTCCCTGGCCCCTTTACTCTCTGGCACGCTTCTCCTGCTCTGCTTCCTGTATAAAATAACTAAGCAACTCTGTTCTACCACGCCCTTCCACCAGGCTATCTCTGCTTTTAGCTAAAGTAATCTTAAAGCCCCTCCTTTAAACTGTGAGGAAGTTCATTCTGTGACCCACTGCCCCAGAGACAGGAAAGCTGGCTAATACCCATTCCTGTATAAAAGGGAATTCTAGAAAATTTTTTAAGTTGGGTTTAAGTGGTAATAGAGTCTAGAGAAATCTTTCTTTTAAGTCAGATGAAAAATCAGTGCCAGTTCCGATGTAATGCTAAATTCCTCCTGAAAAAAAAAGGGGGTGGGCTCATCTGTTCGAAAACTGGATAAGAAAGCTGGAATAAGTGTGTACCAGGCTTGTATCTAGATGTCCCCCAGAGCCTCGTGCAGTCACAGGTAAGGCTTATCAGAGATGGCTGAATCTAGACTGTGTGATGCTGGAATTAAGGCTGTATAATTACTAAATCTGTCCACGGATTAGTTTGTCTACCCTAATCCTGGTAGTTTACAAAAATATAAAAGGTGCAGAAAGAAGCTTCTAAACTCTCCCTCTTGCTTGCTACCTTCTGTCTGCCATGAACTATTTCTCCTCTGAAAGGCTTGGCTGACCCTGGAGTCAGCCAATATGGATTAAATCCTCTATGAACTCTGAGCTAAATAAGGCTTTTCCTCTTTAACTTGGATTGTGAGCATTTTGACTCAGCAATGAAAAAAAGTAATACCAAGTGCTTCAATAGCCAAGTTATACTGAAAAATAATCCAAATTATATTTGGTTTTTTAAAAATCATTTTTACTATTGTCTTATCCACCTATTTTATACCCTTACTACATCTAACTGGATTATTCAAATCAATCAATACTACCCAAGGCTAAGGTCATTGGCAACATTATCTTACCCTCCTGGTCCACACTTAATGTCCACACTATAATTTCTCAAGTCCCCACACCCTGTTTTTCTCTCTCCTGATTCCTTCAAATTTCTCTTCATAATCTTTGGGACTGAATGCTTGTATATAACAATTCCTTCCATACTGATTTTCTCTACTGTTGTTTCATTTGGTTTCAACTGCTTTCTTTTAGAGTCACAGTACAGGGCAGATCTGGATGTGCCTACTTGTACTAAGCACTTACCTGAAGGCCAAATTGACTGAGTACAGCTGGGTCCTCATCCCTCAGAGTTCAAAGAGCTCCCTCTGACCATGTGTTCCTCTAAGTCCTCTCAACCATCCCCTGGCTGCAGCTGTCAACTCTATACTAAACTTAAAACAGCAAGATTCCTTACTGATGACAGAACCACCTGGCTATTCCTCAGTCTCCTAAATTCATGTCCAAAGCTTTACACATTACTTCTTCAGTTTTATTTCTTAATCCTGTGTCATTCTGCATCATTTTCTAATAACTGACCAAATCTCTGACTTTATCATGATCACCCAGCCCACCTTGTTCTTCTCTTTCAAGATCTAATTAAGTCTTAAGTTCTAAGACACTAAAAAATCAAATGTATCTATTATTTCATTTCTATCACCACAGCTTTGATTCAGAGTTTTATCATCTGTTATCCAGATTTTATCAGCTGAGTTAGCTCTGTAACTTTAGACTCCTGAGCCAAATTGTTCTCTGCTGAATTGCCACCATTACTTCTTTATTCAAAATCTTGCCACTTCATTTTTCAGAATTCTTTAAGTGACTTTTAATACTCTGGGAACAAAGAATACTCTTCATGTTCTTGATCTTCAGCCTCATCTCCTACAGCTGCTCAGCTCCCACCCTTTGCTCCATCACCTTGGGTACAGTTTAGAATAATTGTCTATTTACTCTTCAGTTTACTTTTCCACCAAAATACATAGAGAGAATCTTTGTCTTTCATCTAAAACAAAGTTCCATAGATTCTACCTTCCAAATAGCCCTATAATGTGTCCACTTTACTCATTACCACTGAACTAGCTCCCCTATTTCTTGATTCTAACTCCTAGGCAACATTAAAGATTAAATGCAAAATTAGTAAATAGGCAATGTGCTTAAAAATCTTGCACTGCTTTCATCAACAGTGTACAAAAATCTTTATTTCCTAGTAAAGGCAGATGATCTAAGGCTTTCCTTATGCACTGGCCTCATCTTGTGACACATTCCTACCTGCAACCTCAGCTCTGTGCCAGTGACAATCAACTATATATGCTCCCTAAATGAACTACTCTCTCTTACAACCAAGTCTCTGCAAATGCTGGTCTTTTCCTGTGAGACTGTTCCTGCTTCACCTGCTTGTTCAATTTTCTATGACTTTTCAGATCAGGCAGCATCACCTCATGAATGTTACCACAGTAACCTGCACATGCTTCCATCACACTTGTATATGTACAGTAACCATGTGCTTTGTACTTGCTTGCCTCTTAGATTAAGAGCAATTTAAGCCTTGGAGATAAATATGCTTTGTTTGTATTTTAATCTAATATCTTAGTATTCTAGGACAAGTAGTTACAGATTTTGAACTGTAGAATTTTAGTTCTTTTTCCTAGATCTATAGCTCCTTAGGTATATTAAGAATCCATTATCCCCCTTTCCTCAAATTTCCCTTCTTTATTGGTACAACTATAATGTTCTGTAGAAATAGTGAATGAAATATTATGAACATTCAAAATCTTATTTATCCTTTTATTAACACCCTAAATTTAACATGAACATTTAAAATCTTACATATCCTTTTATAAACACTCTCAATACTTATTTACTCAGCAATTACCATATTAACGTCACTATTTTCGTAAAACACAAAATAAGGAAAACAGGGCTTTTTCCTAGGGATGTGGAAGCACAAATTTTAAAAATCAGTTTCAGTGCACTGTGATAAGGGGACAACATGGTATGGAACAACAAGGTGGTAGAGACACACCCAAATCTGCAGAGGCACAGAGAATTGCTGCTTTACAGAGTACATGCAGCACAAAACTGGAACACATGCAATAAAGCAAATTTAATCAAGCCATTGTGTCTAGAACTGATAGAGCTAATAACTTTTCATTAATGGTTAATTCCTAATGCTTTAAGAAGAGCATGATTGGAGACAGCTTTAAAAAGTCCCTTGGGGCTTCTGTGTAAAGTTCGAAGCAGCCCTGCTGTCCCCTGTGTCTATGTCACAAAAACCATGGCAACAGATGCTGTGTTCAAGAGCACAATGGTCTTCCTTCCTACTGAATTTCCTACCTTCTTATATGCTGTGAAGCCTTTTCAACCTTTGCTACTGTGGAGCTTTTAAATTGTCGCTTTTAACAGTTTCCTGATTCTCTTTTTTTCCTTTGTTCCTTTCCACTACAGGGACAGAACATAATACCAACAACGTTGGAAATAGTATATAGTATATTTTCCTTTTAAATATATTTTTGTCTTATAGCGAAGATTTTTTCCTCCTCTATATCTTATAAGAAACATATTCTGTTCATTGGTCAACTGATTATACAAGAGTGCTAATGTTCCTCAAGAAAAATACAGCCTACATTAGTTATTTGGCTATATAATGAATAAAAAAGTCAGACTATGCATATTTCTATACCATATATAGTAATTACAGTTCTGACAAATTACAAAATTTTAAACAATGATTTTTATTAAGAAAAAAATTTGTATAGATGCCTCCTATACTGTTAATATTAGAGATATAAATTATTACACTAATTGAACAATTAATTGCAGAATGTCAGATGAAAAAAGAAATTTTACTTTTGTTAATTCCTAAATATACT